TAGCATCTCGAAGTTCCTGAATCCTGTGCGTGGATGCTGGCAAATACTGAGTAACAGTATGAATCCTTTACTGTCCCTCTTCTAACTGAGAATCTATGCTCTCCTTAGATGTGTCATCAACATACGCACGTGACAGCGTGTCTGCAATGTACAACTTTGAACCTGGTACATATGTCACACATAGATTGTATTTCATCAATTTTAACAACATCATTTGCATTCTAGGAGACACCTGGTGTAGTGGTTTCCTTATAATTGCCTCTAGAGGTTTGTGATCACTCTCCACCATAACCTCATTGCCATAAATATAATGGTGAAACTTTGTTGCTGCATGCAAAATAGCTAAAAGTTCCTTCTCAATCTGTGCGTATCTCGTCTCTGTATCAGTTAATGCACGTGAGGCATAAGCAATAGGTTGACCATCTTGTAACAGACATGCACCTAATCCCGTAGATGACGCGTCTGCTTGTATCGTCACTGGCTTGGATGGCTCAAACAACTTCAGCACTGGTTCTTCTGAGAGTACATCTTTTACTTATTGCATGGCAGCTTTCTGCTCTGGTCCCCAATTCCAAGGTACTCCAGCTTTCAACAAACTGCTGATTGGACTCATGGTAGAAGACTTATTTGGAATAAATGGTGATAGGAAATTCAACATTCCTGTTAAACGCTTCACTGCCTCAGTATCAGTTGGGTCTGGCATTTCCAGAATTGAGTGAATCTTCTCTGGGTCTGGTCGGATTCCTTGTGCTCCAACAATCATCCCAAAATATGATACACTGTTTTGTTTCAACTGCGTTTTCTTGGCATTAAAACGAACATTGCTCTCCATGGCACGTTTAATCACTTCTCCCAGGATTTGATCGTGTTCCTCAACTGTCTCTGTTGCTATCAGAATGTCATCTGCTATAGCATACATTGTATGTATTTCTAATGTCACCAAAGACACGGTAAACATTTTTCTGCAAAATATCTGCAGCACTCGTAATTCCAAATGGCATTCGTCTACATTTATAGTGTCCAAAAGGTGTGGAAAAAGTAGTAAGTTCTGAACTGGAGTCATCTAATTCCACTTGGCAGTAGGAATCCTTGAGATCGATGATGGTGAAGACTTTACTTCCTCCTATCTGCGCTGCTACTGATTCCAATGTTGGCATATTGAAATGTTCTCTTCTTATCTCTTTGTTGAGATGTTGGGTGTTGAGGCACAACCTTATGGAACCGTCTTTCTTCTCTGTTATGACAATATTGCTAATAAAATCTGTGGGGTGGTCCACCTTCTCAATAACTCCTTGTCTCTCCATTTCTTCAAGTTTATTTCTCAATGGGGCCATCAACTTCTGTGGAACCCTGTGTGTAGGAGCAATGTGACCCTTAGCACCCTGCTTCAGTGAGATGTGATACTGCCCAGGGAACTTTCCCAGGCCTGTGAAAGCACTTTTATAAGATCCCCTTTCTATTGAATCCTTTGTAATTGATGCAGTTACTGAGTCAAGATTCCTTTGTTTCTCCACTGAAACAAGACCTAGAGCAATACAAGCTTGCAGTCCCATCACTGGCACTGTTTTTTGTTTTGTAACAAATACTTCTCCAATGGTTTTACGTCCATTTGACATGCTCATATCTACTTTCGCTCTGCCAATGTGCTCTACCACTGCACCACCAAACGCTCTAAGTATGGTATGAGATTGTTCTAGTTCGGGTCTACCTGCTATCTTTCTCCATATTTTCTGGGATATTGAGCTGGTTTCTGCACCTGTGTCTATCTTCATTCTAATATGAGAGTCAGCTACCTTTACATTTTCAAACCATACACGCTGATCTTCATTCCTGGACACACTGCCTATACTCAGCTCTATTGTTCCCATAAAATATTCAGCACTGTGTTGAACTGCACTGTTATCGTCATTACTTAGTTCATGGACTTTTATAGTAGCTCTACAACAACTTTTGAAGTGGTTGTTACCTTTACACTTGTAACATGTCCGTCCCCATGCAGGGCAGTCTGTGTGCAGATTTGGACCATGGTTTCTCTTACAACGTGTGCATAACTTGGTGTGTCGATTATCTTTCTTCTGAGAAAACTTCGTTGAGGGTTGTCTCTTACCCTTCTGTATCATGGATACACTGGAAGTTGCAGCTGCGGCACCACGTGCGAGCCCAGACATAGAGTCAACTTCCTGCTTTGTGATCTCCGCCGCCCGGCAAATGTCTATAGATTTCTCGAGGTCCAAATTTTTCTCCCTTAAGAGTCTTTCCTGCAGCCTTTTGTCCTGTGTAAACACTATTTTGTCCCTTACCATGTTGTCGGTCTCAGCAAAATCACACTTTGCCGCAATGGCCTTGACCTTTACCAGGTAATCGTCAAAAGGCATAGAGTCTCGCTTTAAGTTCCAAAAGCTGAATCTATTAAAAACGATCCTCTTCTCACCGCACAGTTCAGTGTCAAATTTATCTAAGACTCTCTCGTAACTCTCTTTATCACCTGCTTCGTTCCAGTTAAACTGGTTGAAACGTTTTACTCCCTCTGGTCCCATGCACGTGAGAAGCATGGCGATTTTTGTGGCGTCTGTTTTCTCCACTGCTTCTTTGGCTACCAGAAAAAGTTGGAACATTTGTTTCCATTCCCTCCAATTTTGGCTAACATCGCCATCAAAAGAGAACTGTGGTGGGGGCTTGAAGTCATTCATCCCGATCCTGACACCATGTAATGTTACGGGCGGAGGAGCGCACACCAGATGACACGTTGTTAATAATTACTCAACTGCAGCACACAGCCGCGCTTTATTCTAATTGGATAATATTACACAATGTGCATGACACACCACTATGTGACAGGGTGTCAGCAGTTTAATTAAATAAATTGAATTTCACAAATAACATGGACCTCATATGCAACAATCAACAGTACCCTTAAGTCATTCAAATGCAGTGTTAAAGAATTGAATAGACGGGAAATGGTTTTACATAGCTTCACGAGGATTTAGACCCCTCGGGTAAGAGATTTGAATGAGTATAAACTTTTATCAAAAGCCAGAAAAGTCATCTTACAGGTAGACAATGCAGCTCAGTTTGACAGCTAAGCACGCTCTGTTCTCCGGTGGCACGATTGTCGTCATCAGACCACGTGACCACATAGCTCATAACTCCCAGGTCGAGCAAATAGGATGTTTTTTAAAGCCAAAAATTTACAAAATGAGCTTTTAATTTGTGTATTTAGATAAAGATGTCGTTAGTTGGGCATGTTTTCTGAAGAATATGTTCTGTTCAGGCCATTCTGATGGTGTGGCCATTGTCCTTTAAACTCCCCAACCCAGAATTTACTTGTGCATAAGATTGTGCAGAAGACCCATACACATCAAGTAACTCGGCATGTATGTCCTTACCAGTTTTACCTTTCAAATGCAAATACCGAATTACAGCACGGTACTCCATTTTTGATGAAAAGCTTGCTTTTACATCACTAACCATGTTTGACATTCAATATCTGACAAACAAATGACCGTATTCATGTATAGTTTTGTACCCAGGTACAATACATGTATTGAAACAATGCCTGAAAATCATGGATGTCTAGGTTGATCGGAGATGTGTTAGGCTGGTTATATATTGACTCAGCCTTGTAAGTATTACTGAAATACAGGTTAAGTTTGAAAATAAGCTTGATCGGTTAAATTTTGGTGAAGTTATACCTTTTTTTGTAAATAAGTGTTTTTTCCTCGGATCTAATTCTGTTAACAGTCTCATTTTTTAACTAATTAGATATGTAAAGGTGTTCTTTTGACATTTTATGCATCTTAACACTATTGTTAGTTGATTATATAAAAATGATGGTAAACCTGTTATTGTGTATTGTGTAATAAAGTGTCAAAAATGGAAATAAATTTGTATCTTTATAGTTTGTCAGATTCAATCATTCACTATGTTCAGAATCTCAGAATGGAGCAAATTGGACATTTAAAATTGTTCTATTGATATTTTTCCTATGTCATCAATTTTCTTAGTTGATCATTTACTAAAAACAGTAAATCAATTATTTTTTGTTATGTAAAAAAGGTGTTGAAAATGGAAATAAACCCATTTCAGTATAGTTCTCTTGTTTACATTTTGGCATTTTCAAAGTTTGACTCTGAACATCCATGGACTTGAAGACTTTTGCTAGTCACATTTTCTAAATATCCATGATACTTTTACTTTATTATTAAAAATTGATGGTCATTATACTGTTAAGCATTATGTAATATTGCGTCAAAATTGAAGTAAAGCCTGTTTTGAACACTGCTGCCATAGTGACCATTAAAGCAAAACCTTCTCACACTTACAGAAAAGAAACATGGGACTTGAATACAGCTTCAGTTGGAAAATCTGTCTTATTGATTAAATTTTCTGTAAGTAATGCATTTTTTCGTGAAAATTTAATTTTTCACATACCGCCATTTTCAAGGTGTAACTTTAACTTCCATGGGCTATGAAAACCTTTGCTAGTCATATTTTCTGAATAATCATGATACTTTTACTTTATAATTAATAATGGATGGTCATTGTGCTGTTATGCTTTATGTGATATTGCATCAAATTTGAAGAAACCCCAATTTGGGCACTGCCTTCTTAGTGACCATTGAAGAAAAATCATGTCACTTCCGTACTCTTCTTGACATACAGATCAAATAAGAAAACCAGCTCTATTGCATTATCATTTTTATTGGATTAATGCATATTTTTGTAAAATTTTCATTTTTCTCAATCTGGCATTTTCTAAGAGTATACTTTAACTCTCATGGGCCTGAAACCTTATGCTTTTACTTTCATTGGTACTACCTGTTGTGCATAATTAAAATTTGAAGTTGACTTTGCATTTAAGTATAATGTATTATTGTATCAGAATTGACAGTATTCTATTTTGTGAATTATTATTTCTGCTTTTTGTCTGTACATTTGACAGCTTTGCTGCCCTGTTTATTTTGTTAATTTTATAAGATAGTGTATTTAATGTTTGCTAGGAAAAGTGGGTTATCATAGATGGATTGCTTCCCAGAAGATGCTATTATTTTTATGTGTCTGGTCACCTGTCTGGTCGATGGTATGGCTCTGGCTACAGTAACCATATCAAAATGCCTATACGCAGTAAGTATTATATCTTTTCCAGATATGGCATGCAGGTCTACTCAACTACCAGACTCGGCATTGAATGATCCCAAATTCACCGGTAGATTGGACCACACTACCCGTTTTCAAGGTGTGCGTCAGTACGCATTTCACAGTATCATACCCCAGAACAAATTTTGAGATGAAATGCACACTTTCCAACCCCACTGAGAATCATCACTATCACAGCGCATACTAGGCAAGAGCAGTGTCACGTCTGATACTTCGAAGCACGTACTGATTCACACCTTGAAAACGGGTAGTGTGGTAGTGTGGTCCGATCTACCAATGAATTCAGGTTTATTCAGTGCCAAATCTGGTAGTTGGGTAGGCCTGGCATGGCACCAAGTAAATGAAAGTTCAAGTTACAGTTGAACCACAATGAAGTAAACTATATGATAATTTCAAAATATTTCATAATTTTGCAGCCAATTACAAATTGGCATTGCCAGTGATATGAAAATAAAAAAGAGTCAATGTTACACTTTTGACTAATTTAAAACTGACTTTACCTTTTGCTGAAATATTTTATCACCTTGCATTTTGTCTTGTATCAGTCCATGCTAACAGTCCATGCTATAAATATCCTGACCTTACACATGGATCTTAAAGGACTGTATTGATAGAATCAATGAATAACAAATTGGCAATGAACTCTACTTACAGTACCAGAATCTCCTTTCAAGTTTGTCCCAGAGAAGCTTGATCTCAGTTTTCCAGAAAATACAAGCCTGGGTACAGGTGAGAACCTATAATTAATTTCTTTTCTTGTGAACCTAACTTTTAGGCAGCAAGTGAAAGTCAAATTCAAAACTCTACATTAATTCTTATATATATAGGGAATATATTTTTGTTTGCTTCATTGGACAATTCAGTGAGTGAGCTGATGTCACAAGGACATCAAAGAGATTATCAAAAGTTAGACAGATAGATAGATAGATAGATAGATAGATAGATATTTCTACAGTCACACTGTATTATTGTCAAAAGCAGATGCACAAAAATTTTTAAACTATTAATATTTTGAAGAAAAGGAGAAAACCTACCAGATGTTGCCAGTGATATATTTTTTGTACAAACACAACAGTGTCTCCATATTCCCATCACCTGAGTCTGTAAGCAATATGAATGCTAGTCAAGTTTGAAGCTGAGCTTGATCAAATCTTTCTAGTAAAAGAAATTTTAAGTTTCTTATTATATATTTTAATTGGTTGGATTATTCCTTAGATTGCTTCAGTAATTCTTACTATGATTTATATCTAGCTGCACATATGCAGGCGTGTAATGAGGCTGTCTTTTGGGTCTTCCAAAAGACGGTCAGATTTTCAAGTTTACACTGACTGATATCTAATTTTTTCTGTTGGAAGATGCTCAAAACAAGAGAATGGATCAACAAAGATAATTTGGAAGACTGTACGGAAACATCTTTGGATCCATCCCTTCATATGTGTATTCAGTCTGTGTATTGTCTATTTATCATTTGAACACTGTGTCTGTATGTGCAATCACCAGTGCCATCACAAGCTAAAACATTTGTTGTTCACCCTGTAACTGCCAAACTGTATTTTGTATTTTTGTTTTTCTTGAAATTTACTGAGATGATTTGGAGTTTGCAAAAACAAAAGGAAATTCCATTTTGAAATTCAGCATGATCGGATTATTTTTATAATAGTTATTGAATTTTTTTTTTTGCATTTTTAAGCAATGAAAATATGCTAGATCATCTTTTTTTGTATTGGTTTGCTTTGGAGATTTGCATGCTCATGAGGCATGTTCCTTTAAAAATAGCATAATACACATACTTTTATGAAACTTTTTTGCAAATATTTTGACAGTGTTCTCCCTATAATTAAGTGCCAAACTGTATTTTTGTTTTACTTCATATTTATATTTTATACTCCATAAGTTTAGTGGAAATACTGTTTCCTTTCTAAAATCTACACGATTGGTTGATTTTTGTCCAAAAGTAATTGATTTTGTTTCAGGGTAAAAGTTTTTTATTTGCATTTTGGCAAAGTTTCCCTAAAATTGTCCAATTGTATTTTGCTTTACTACAAATGTTTTTAGTGTTTGAGTGGTTTTGTGTTGAGAAAATGCAAGTTCTTTTTAAGCCTTTTGAAAATCGGCATGATCAAATTATTGTAACTTTTTTCTTTCTTGTAAATATTGTTGAATTTTAATTTTGTTGTTTGGTGTCACTATATCTGTCAGCTTGGTTGTCTATTAAAGTATATTTTCCTTTAATCATCTAGGTGCCATATACAGTGAATACTTGCCAGTGGAGTTATTTTGTGTGCAGGTTGATACTTAAACTGAAATAAATAGTTCATACCTTTGTTCACCCCTTAGCTCAGGCCTACCCAACTACCAGACTCGGCACCGAATGATCCTGAATTCACCGGTAGATCAGACCACACTACCCATTTTCAAGGTGTGTGTCAGATCGCATTACACAGTATCAGACGCGACACCGCTCTTGCCTAGTATGCGATGTGATAGTGACGATTCTCAGCAGGGTTGAAAAGCATTGCATCACCACTCAAAATTTGTTCAGGGTATGATACTGTGTAATGCGATCTGACACACACCTTGAAAACGGGTAGTGTGGTCTACCGGTGAATTCAGGATCATTTGGTGCCGAGTCTGGTAGTTGGGTAGGCCTGTTAGCTGGCCTATTAGATTTTTGTATCTTTTACCTTCATGTGGATACATTGAATCAATTGTATTGTTAAATGAGAACAAATTAAGATTCTTTGTTTCTTCTAACAGATCCTTTCTGTTTATTTTTAGAGCTATATAATCCTATACTCACTGGTGGATTTACAAATGAAACACATGACTTTGAATTCACCTTATTAATGGATGGCAATGGGACTTTTAATCTAACAGAAAACCAGGCCATTACATTAATCAGACCTCTTGATTATGAAGTCCAGAGAACACACATGATATTGATTCAAGCTCATACGATCAACAGCAGTGTAAATGACAGCTTTAATGAGGTTTATTACAGTGATTGTCCCTCTTTTTATGCAACAATGGAGATAACTGTGATTGTAGAAGATGTTGATGAGTACCCCGTGATGTTTCAGTATTACAGCAAATCTACAACGTATGGTGAAAACCTTACCACAGGGTTGTCTGATGGGAACATCCCAATGCACTGGGTTGTAGTATCCTCTGATACTGAGGTTGGAACTTCCATATTTAGATTCACTGTAATGGATGCAGATGGTAGCTCCCCTGATGTGACAGGATTTCACATATCTGGAAACAACTCTGCACAGGATTTCCTAGGAGTGACATCAGAGGGGGAATTGTACACAACTGATACTATTCCTGTTAGTACTTCTGTCTGCCCCTTTGGATGTGCCGTGCAGGTATATGGGCTCTTAGTGACAGCCTCACAAGGCTCCCAGGAATTTGAATGCAAGGTCTTGTTGGTCATTAGGAATACAAGAATCAGAATTGAGGTTCAGGAAGATACCAGTTCTGTTGGATTTCAAATCATTGATTATGTGGCCTCCGAAGGTTCCTCTATAAGTGATGGTTCACTTTCTGCATATGTCAATGTCAGTTTTCCAATACATGTCATTGGGTATGACATTTTCATGCAGTCATTCAATTACGAGGCAGAGCAAGAGTATCACCTTCTGTTTAATTGCACATATGAAAATACCTCTTTCATAACAGTCCCTATTGTGATAGAGGTGGTTGATGTTAATGATAACAGCCCTGTGTTTGATCAGGACATGTATATTGGAGTGGTTAGGAACACAACTCCAGCAAATACTACTATTACTACGTTAAGTGCATCTGACAGGGATTTAGGTGACAATGTCAACCTTGTTTATACCATCATAGAAGGAGACCAGTATTTCTGGGTGACCGACTGTGGACAACTTCAGACAAAAATTGAGATGAATTTTATGCAACATCCACTCCAAGTTATCGAAGGCAAAGTGAATGTTTCTGATGGTCTCCATTCCAATGAAACCATGGTCCTTGTCCTTGTGTATGCTTTGGATTTAGAATACTACATACCAGAGAACCAAACAGTGGAGTACCTGGTACCAGAGAACCAAACAGTGGGCAATATTGTGGTTCCCAACTTGTGTGGAAATATGTCAGCTTATGGTTATGCCAGTTGCAGTGTCCTTGACCCAACAGGGACATTTACAATGAGTAGTGATCACCTTCAACTTGTTTCAAGTTTGGATTATGAATCTAATACCACTTTCACATTATTACTGAAGGTTGTCTTTGATACCATTGAAATGAACATAACTGTCACCGTCCATGTACTTGATGTGAATGACAATTGGCCATTTTTTATACAACAAGAGATTTACACAGCAGTGCAAAATTTCACTCAGGAAAATACAACAGTTGCTATGGTGATGGCTCATGATAATGACAGCAATGCTAATCTTGTTTATACCATCACAGAAGGAGACCATTATTTCTGGGTGACAGACTGTGGACAACTTCAGACAAGAATGGATATGAGTTTAATGCCAAATCCACTTCAGGTTATTGAAGGCAAGGTGAGAGTTTCTGATGGTGTCCATTCCAATGAAACCATGGTCCATGTCCTTGTGTATGCATTGGATCTAGAGTACTACATACCAGAGAACCAATCAGTGGGCAATATTGTGGTTCCTTACTTGTGTGGAAATATGTCAGCTTATGTATATGCCAACTGCAGTGCCATTGACCCAACAGGGACATTTGCAGTGCATGGAGATGACCTTATACTTGATTCACGTTTGGATTATGAATTTAACACCACTTTCACATTATTACTGAACGTTGTCTTTGATACCATTGAAATGAACATAACTGTCACCGTCCATGTACTTGATGTGAATGACAATTGGCCATTTTTCATACAACAAGAGATTTACACAGCAGTGCAAAATTTCACTCAGGAAAATACAACAGTTGCTATGGTGATGGCTCATGATAATGACAGCAATGCTAATCTTGTTTATACCATCACAGAAGGAGACCATTATTTCTGGGTGACCGACTGTGGACAACTTCAGACAAGAATGGATATGAGTTTAATGCCAAATCCACTTCAGGTTATTGAAGGCAAGGTGAGAGTTTCTGATGGTGTCCATTCCAATGAAACCATGGTCCATGTCCTTGTGTATACATTGGATCTAGAGTACTACATACCAGAGAACCAATCAGTGGGCAATATTGTGGTTCCTTACTTGTGTGGAAATATGTCAGCTTATGGTTATGCCAGTTGCAGTGTCCTTGACCCAACAGGGACATTTACAATGAGTAGTGATCACCTTCAACTTGTTTCACATTTGGATTATGAATTTAACACCACTTTCACATTATTACTGATTGTTTCTTTTGATACCATTGAAATGAACATCACTGTCACAGTCCATGTACTTGATGTCAATGATAACCGACCAGTTTTTCTTCAGCAGCAGTACAGTGTTACTGTTATGAGGGAGATAAACCCACATACACTTCTAACCACCATCACAGCAGAGGATCCAGACCAGAATCAGAATATCACATACAAATTGCTTGGCAGTGACAATGAGAACTTCCTGATAAATAACTATGGTCAAGTGTTTAGTTTGTCATCTCTGAACTTCTCAGATAGTGTTGTTCACACAGTCAATTTAACAGTCCGGGTAACAGATGGGATATGGACATCCCATGCATCACTTAAACTCCACATTGTTGCAAACGAATTGAAAATCGAAGTTTCTGAAAGTACTCCAAATGAAAGTATTGTGCATTCCAATTTATGCAGCCAGGAATTCTTACTTAATGGAACATGCAGCATTGCTGGAATGGACTCTACTTTTGGACTGGATGTTGATAAGAATTTGGTGTTGCAAAAACTATTAGACTTTGAATCAAAGGAAGACTATGACCTAATGTTAACTGCAGTGACAGGGGACACAACCTGGACATTACCAATACGTGTTCATGTGTCAGACACCAATGATGAAATCCCTCTGTTTCAGAATGAGGCCCATTTCTTTGGAATTGTCAGCAATTCATCACTTCCAAATATGACGATTTTCAATATCAATGCCAGTGACCCAGACAATGTTGGTTCGACACTGGAGTTCAGCCTTGATGAGGTTGGTGCAGAGTATTTCCAAATCTCTCACTGTGGACAATTGCAGACCATGAGCTCTTTTCCACTGCAGCTTCAAGTTCCATTTCATTTTGTCAACTTCTCCATATCCGTCACAGATGGGATCCATGTCACCACAACTAGGGCTAGGGTCCTCATTGCCACTGATTCATGGCAGGTGGCAGTTGCTGAAAATGACACAGAAAATAATTGGGAACTGCAAAACTTATGTGGAAACCTGAACACATATGGCGGATCTTGCACTGTGACCTCAGATCCAGAAATACCAGGATTGTTGTACAATGCCTCTGAAAACAGCTTGCATCTCAACACAAGATTGGATGCCAGGATTCAAGATGTCTATGAGATAAAGGTCCAGGCCTCTTTGGTACCATTTGAAACCATCACAGTCTCAATATCAATCAACGTAATTGATGTAAATGACCATGTACCCCAGTTCACCGAGGACTCTTATTCTGCTGTCCTTCATAATGGTGCTTATGAAAACACTGTCATTTTAACTTTAGAAGTTGAAGATGGTGATCTTGGGAATAACTCAAATATAGAGTACACAATTACTTCGAACCCCTTTACAATCTTTGGCATTAATAGTGCTGGGTGGCTTTACACCAATAGAAGGCTTGATATAGCGAGTATCCTGCCTGATTTGAATGATCTCATAGCATACACAGCACAGGTAACAGTGGAAGCTAGAGACTTGGGAATACCCCCCAAACATAATAGCACTTCAGTGGATGTCCTATTTCTTGATGATGAATTTGTGATCAACATAATGGAAAATGAGTATGATATACCATTTGGGAATATTAGTGTTCCTGCATTGAGAAATATAGGACTTGTTAGGGCACCTGCTGGTATTAGTGCAAATTTGACACACCTTTGGCTGGCAGAAGGGTTGGATTACGAGCAGAGCTCAAGCCTTCACTTCAGCCTCAATCTGTCACTGGATCACAGCCACTACATTGTACCTGTTACAGTGCATGTCATTAATGTGAACGATGAACCTCCAGAGTTTGGTGAAAGCATATACAACTTTACTGTTCCAGATGGCGCCAGGTACTATACATTGATAAATATGACCACAGCCACTGACAGGGATACTACAGACATAACATATTCCCTAAGAGATGTTGAGGATGAGGTATCTGGTGGGATGTCAGTTAGTGGACTGTTTTTGGTTAATGAAAAAAACGGAGCACTGTACACGAATGGTCAAATAAGCTACAAAAAACTTCTTAAAGAGAAGCGTTTTAAGTCCGAAAATGATTCCTACCTTGAGTTTATGATTGAAGCTAAAGATGGGGTATTCACAGCAAATGCCACAATAAGAGTGACTGTTTTGAAATATGATCTTAGTGTAGTTAACCAGTATAACACTACCACAGCTTCCTTACAAGAAGGAAATTACAGCAGCACTTTATTCTTAGTCACCGATGAGGCAGCTCGAGCAAATTATTCTGACTTCAAGTTTCAAGTGACTCCAAAGCAAGATGAGCTGATGTTCTTTATTAATGAGACAACGGTAAGTATTTCATTTTATTTTCTTCCATCTTCATACATGTAGGAACACTTGAACTATTTTGCATTTTGATATTTTAAAACTGCAAAACTGTTATTAGCAAAATTTTATTTCTTCTTAGTATGCATGTGATGTTTAATATTATTTTCAAAATCCAAAAAAATAATTTTTTTTAAATAGCTATACTTATCAAAATATCAGAATGTTAAGAATCTAGGTTAAATCATAGTAAATTTTTGCTATAACAAAACTTAATTTGACTAAATTTTTGTTCACAAATTTAACACTGATTTCTTTTAAATAAAAAAAAGAATAAGAATTTTTTTCATAAGTTTTAATGTAAATGAATGTATACAGGTTCAATAAATTCTGTGATGCACTTTATGGGGTTAACAATTATTTATCTTGACTTGATGATATTTTCAGTCTGTAGATAAGATAAAATTATCTTTTTTAACAAAAAAAATTAACCCACTTCTTTTTCAGGGTTTCATTTATACAAATCAAACATTTGACCGGGAACAAGATGACAACTACATAGTCTTTGTAATTGCTTTAGAACAAGGTCTAGACAGTTGCCAAGCAGCGGTGAGTGTACACGGGGAGTAAATTTTTTATCACTGGGAGATCACAGTGCCCTCTTACAGTTTTATATGCACCTCCCTTTATATTGATATGAGGCCAGAGGAGCTTTAATTTTATAAAGTGCTGTAGGTTTCAGAATAAGAAGTGTAACCGGTATAAAATGCAAGAAAAAGATTGATGTAAGAAATCATGTACATGAAGTATCCATGCACCCGTATGCAAAGAGCATATTCTGCACTGAAGGGTTGACTGTTCTTTTTGTTTACTGTAAGTGTTGGCTTTGTTTTATGAGTGCATAGTGTACATTTTGCATTTTTTAAAATAATTTTTACCTTTGGCATAGCCAAACAGGTCTGCATGCATATATAGATTCAATCCTCTACTTTTCAATTTTCTTACATTCTATAAATACAGGTACTATTAGTTTAATTTAGCTTTTTCAATTTAAAATGTATATCTCTACATTTTTTTTCAATTCTTGTTTGAATGATATATATTTTATTGGACATGCATGTTCCTATGTCAAACATTTTAATTTAGGTTAAATGACCAGATAAGATCTGCAATTTACTGCTATCCACAAATTTTGAAGGTGAAAGAACTTTTGATCTACTGTTTTGCAGTAGACGCTTACGTTAATACCCAGTACTTGGGGATGCACCCATGTCCATTTGTGATTGTATTTTCTGTAATGTGTATTAAGCTTGGTGGAGAACACAATGTACAACAACCACCATTTGCAATGACATGTGTTTGAAATTTTTAAAATCTCCATTTCCAGGTTTTAGCCGTTGTAAACACCACTATCACTGATATTAATGACAACCCACCTGTTTTCACATCTCAAACTTATGAAGGTCATGTGGATGAAAATAGGACTAGTGCTGAAGTGCAGTTTCAGGTAGAAATATTTCGTATACACTTGTTTACAATAAGACTGATGTTTAAGAATGCAAATAACTGAGTGAAGTTAATTTAAAAACAAGGCAGCAAAGCTGTCAAATGTACAGACAAAAAACAGAAAATAAAGATGCAAAATAGGTCATTTTGTCAATTTTGATGCAATAATATATAATGCTTATAATAGCACAGTCAGTTCACACCGATTTTTAATCATGCACAACTGGTAACATGGTCAATAACAGGAGCAGATCCAGAGGTATTTTCTGACAGTATTCCAAAGTATTTTTGTTGATCCATCCTCCACTTTTGATGGTCTTCCAACAGAAAAAAATTGATACCAGTCAATGTAAACTTTAAAATCTGCCCATCATCTGAAAGACCCAGAAGACGGCCTCAATCCACCCCTGCAATAAGATTAACTTTCTGGACCATGAGAGTTCAAATTCACATAATGAAAATCCCAATATTCGAAAAAATGTTGACAGTGCATAAAATAATATTACATGATGTTTAAAGACATAAAAACCTATGCAACTGCTTATGTGGAAATACAGAAAATCTGAAGAGCTTCAGGTGGATGGGAGTTGAAAATGCCAGTGTTTAGAAAAAAAATTTAAAAGAAAGCATACACACACACACAAAAAAAAATCCAATAAAGCTGCTATTCAAACTTTTAATCTTGCTGTATTAACATGATGTGAATAACCCCAATGTGTTTGAGGATAATAAGGCACTGTTATTCATCTATAGCATTAATGTTGGCATTACACAAATTTTTTATGTACAGACACATTATTTGCAATATTAAACAACATTTACCTGCATAATTATCACCAATTCCTAATTATGTGACACAGTTCAGAGAGCTTAACCTATAGGACTTGAATGGGAAATCTCAACGTGTGTTTTATGTTATCTTATTTAATGGGCACTTGAAAATTAATTAGGCAAGTAATTTTATAGCTCTGAATTTAGCTAGCAATTATCCCAAGGGACAATTACCACCATCCATAAACAGTAGCCCCATATAGCACTCTAAAGAGCTGCATTGCTTCCAAAACAGAAAACATTGCTTCCAAAACAGAAAACAATCACACTGATTTCCAACACAAGCTACACTTCAGTCCTATGCAACTTTTCAGTAAGTTAGAATATCATAAGTAAAATGGTTTTTCCTTAATGGTCATCCCGGCAGCGATGTCCAAAATAGGTTTTTTTCATCTTTTATGCAATTTAACATAATGCTTAACAGCACAATGGCCATCAATTTTTAATAATAAAGTAAATGTATCATAGCTATTCAAAAAAGTGACTAGCAATGGTATTCAAGCCAATGGAAGTTCAAAGACTAAGTCACACCTTGAAAATGTCCATATGTGAAAATTTTAATTGTAACAAAAAAACTATATAATTTCCAAGAAAGTTAACTGATATAACAGGTTTTCCAACTGAAGCTATAATTTAGTGCTATGCTACATTTCTGTAAGTTTGAGAAGAGTAAGTGACTTGGTTTTCCTTTAATTGTCACTATGGAGGCATTGTCTAAAATGGGGTTGTCTTCAATTTTGATGCAATATTACATAATGCTTAACAGCATAATGACCATATAAATAAAATAATAAAATAAAAGTATCATGGATATTCAGAAAATGTGACTAGCAAAGGTCTTCAGGGCCACGGAAGTTCAGAGTCACAACTTCAAAATACCAAAATGTACACAAGAGATAACTGTACTGAAATGAATTTCTTTCCACTTTCAACACTTTTTTCAACACTTACTGTCGTTTTTAAATGATCAACTAAGAAAGTTGTTGACATAGGAAAAATATCAATAGAACAATTTTAATTGTCCAATTTCCTCCATTCTGAGATTCTGAACATAGTGGATGATTGAATCTGACAAACTGCAATGATATGTGTTTATTTCCATTTTTGACACTTCATTACACAATACATGATAACAAATTTACCATCATTTTTACATAATCAACTGACAATGTTGTAAAGATGCAGGAAATGTCAAACAAACACTTTTATGTATGTTATTAGTTCAATAATGAGACTATTAACATGCCTAAGAATTGAATCTGAGGAAATGTGAAAAAAAAGCATAACTTCTAAAATAATGGCCCGATTATGCTGATTTTCATACTCAACCTATGTTTTAGTAAGATTGACCACTCCTGTGAGTACAATGACAATTGGCCTATCTGTTTTTCTTATATTGTGTTATCAGTGTTGCATATATGCTGAAAAGAATAAAAAAACAGCATAACTTCCATAAAAGTGGCTCTATCATGCTGATTTTCAAACTTGACCTGCGTATTATAAATATTCATCAGTTCTGTAAGTTTCAAACCAAAAGGTAAAACTGTTTTCCACTTATCGTGTTTACGGTGTTGCATATATGCTGAAAAAAGTGAAAAAAAAGCATAACTTCCCTAAAAATGACCCGATCATGCTGATTTTCGAACTTGACCTGCGTATTATAAATATTCATCAGTTCTGTAAGTTTCAAGCCAAAAGGTATATTGGTTTTTCACTTATCATGTTTACGGTTAAAGTGCACGCCAACGGCGACAGCGACGGCGACGACAGACGCAGATGACGGCTATATGTACAGACACATCTGTGTCTGTACATAAAAAGGGCTAACCTTTTGCATTATGGACTTTTTAAATAATATTTTGAAAATTTTTGTCTTTAATGTGATCAATTATACAAATAATTTGCTTGAATAGAATATGCATATTGTTTTTTCTTTATAAAATAATATTTTTTATATGTTTGGTTTCTTCTTGTATTTATAGGCACAAGATTTTGAGAAAAGAAAATCATTTGATTATTTAATTACACACACACACACACACACACACACACACACATATGTCCATCTATTACCTGTATATGTTTCTGTGTTATCTACGTAAATGTATTACTTTTGCAGATGCCCATTAATGCACCAGACAAGGATATCGGATCAAATGCTTTGATATACTACGAACTACTAAATGGAACAGATGTCTTTCAAATTGACAACACTACAGGGAAATTGTACACAAGTGGGAAATTGGACAGGGAAGAAACTGGTTTTTACATAGTCATGATTTCTGCATCAGATTGGACATACAATGACACAGCAACAGTTAACATAACATTGGATGATGTAAATGACAATGCCCCTGAATTTAGCGAGACAAACTATACATTTAATGTATCAGAAGACCATTCTTCGGACAAATCCATCGGTCAAGTTTTAGCTACAGACAGGGACATTAATATTTTACCACTAACCTACCATATTGAAAATGACAGCAATGAAAAGTTTACCATGAAAAACCCATTCACTGGTGAAATTTGGATTTCCGGGACTCTAGATCGAGAGAGTCTTCAGAATGACAGAATTGAGTTTCTAGTTATTGCGAAAGATTCAAGTTCAGGCTCTACTACCGATACATCACATTCAACCACTGCCACAGTCACAGTCATTGTCAGTGATGTCAATGATAATTCTCCAGAATTTGGCAAGAACATAGATGTGGATGTGTTGGAGAACTATACAGGCCCACTCACTCAAGTACATGCAACAGATCCTGATGCAGGAGAAAATGGCACTGTTACATACTGGCTAGATGACAAATCTAGATTTTCTATCGATAATACTACAGGGAATATTACATTGGAGCAATCGTTTGACTTTGAAGATGAGAATTTTATTCGACTCACTGTGTATGCCAGGGACAATGGCAAATCCTGTCAGAGCAGTGGTAGTTGCAGTGACACTATGGAGGTGATGATCACCATCAAGGATATTAATGACAATCCACCTGTGTTTTTGATTCAAAACATAATTCTGTCATCACCAGATAAAATTGGAATAGTAATACCCATGATAGCTTTTGATAGAGACTCAAAAGAAAATGGTGATGTTACATACTCTTTTCCTGATTACCCAAATAATACCTTGAAGCGATTCTTTAATGTTTCAAACTCAGGAATAATTTCAGCTATTAAGATTATTAATATACAATTAGACACAAACAATCGTGTGCTCACAGTGATGGCAAAAGATAATGGCTCCAAACCTCTCTCAGGATTTGCAACAATAACATTTTTTGGTCAAAATGAAGAGACGCCTTGTAAACTAAACAACGAAATTTATGTCAGCAACATAACAGAGGAACAGCATTATCCATGGCCAGTGATAAGTTTAACTTACAACAAGTCTAGTGAGGAAGACAAGTGCATTTTTACTCTCTCTTGTCCCCAAGATGCACCGTTCTTGGTGATAAATTCCACAACAGGAGAAATTGGTTTGAGGAATGGGTCACTGGATAGAGAAGAACTGGATAACTTTTTCAAAAGCACTTGGGACAGCAGGACTTTGGTGTGCATTGTATCTTTCTATGTTCCTGATAAACCAACTAGTGCAGCAGAGGCAAGTGCAGTATATAGCTGTTCTATTCATCATGATTTTATAACTTTTTCTCATTTTAAAGTAAACTGTTTTATTTTTCAATGCTTTGGGTATTTTCAATTATATTAACTTGTCTAGCATATATATATTTTTTTTTTGCTTGAGTGACAAATATCTTACATGATCAGTCTTGTTGTGATAAAATTAAGTGAGTCCTACTTCCAATTCCACATCTTTTAATTCTAATATGATGGGTTTGTTTTTCAGTATTTATAAGGGACTAGTTAGAATATATGTACATTAAATGAAAATATTATAAAATATTATCATTTTATGAAAATTTTGCTGTCTAATTTTGGTAATTATTATTACTCTCCAAATCATATTTCTGGTTTGACTGAATTTTGCTGGCTGTCAAACTAAGACATGCTCATTCAAAATGAAAGCAAAGTTTCATAGAAATATCAGCAATCATGTTTTAAGACAAACTTACAAAGTTTTTCATTGATCTTCATTTAATGAAATAGTTTAACTTAACACTGCTGAAATTTTAAAGATCTTTTTTCTGTCTTTGAGTTATACAAAAATGTTTTTTAATCTACACTCTTCCTTCATTCCTTCCTTTTTTATGTACAGACACAGATGTGTCTGTACATCTAGCCATCATCTGCGTCTGTCGTCGCTGTCGCTGTCGCCGTCGCCGTTGGCGTGCACTTTAACCGTAAACACGATANAACGGTTTTCCACTTATCGTGTTTACGGTGTTGCATATATGCTGAAAAAATTGAAAAAACAGCATAACTTCCCTTAAAATAGCCCGATCATGCTGATTTTCGAACTTGACCGGCGTATTATGAATATTCATCAGTTCTGTAACTTTCAAGCCAAAAGGTAAAACGGTTTTTCACTTATCGTGTTTACGGTTAAAGTGCACGCCAACGGCGACGGCGACGACAGACGCAGATGATGGCTATATGTACAAACACATCTGTGTCTGTACATAAAAACTGCTCTAATCTGTCCAAAAACCTCTTAGAAAATTTTAAGCAAGTAAGCAATAGCTGTGTGATCTCTGTTGACAAACTGCTTATTACTATTCAAACTCTAATGAAACAATTAAGTGTACCAAAGTAAAAGTATGACTGCATAAAATATATATTCAATTACAGCTGTGTTCCTTGTTGTGTTTCTCTCAACATGAACAAAATCACAGATAATGAAGGCTAGCAGGTAGGTAGGCATCTTCACAGTGGGGAAGTAGTGGTCCAGCTTCCAGTCATCTCTGTAACATATACTCAACATGTTGTAGCATTTCAGTTTATATACCAAGTCACTGCTTTACACTTCAGGCATATTGGTGTTTGTCTTTTCCATTAATAGAATTCAATCTGTGTTCAAAAACTGCTTATTAAAAAAACCTTTCAAACTTACAACTTTTGTTAAGAATTTTTTACTTCACCATCTCTTCGGATGTGTGCACTTCCTTCTGTTAGAAGTAATCAAAACAGGAATGTCTCCACATTTAGAAGAACAATTGGCAAATCTTAAACAAACAAAATCCTTACTGTGTTGTAGTTCTTCTGATAGGCATATTTGACAGGGATTTCATGGGGTCTTTTCTCCACAAAGTCACTTCAAAGACAGCTTTAAATGCAGGTTCATCAAAGCAGGGGAAAGCTTTTCTGGCATCTGTGGGCTGCATCTGGGTGGTGGCAATGTGGCTGAAGAGAACACAGAAAATAATGTCTAAAGATGGGTACACAATATCCTCAAACCATAAAAATTAAACAGTTCAATTTTTATTGCTATAAAATCAGTAATTTTGTAATTTTTCATAAAGGGAATTAATGAAGGTTTCAATTACCATCTGTGATAGGGCTAAAAATATAGCTGTATACTTTGCAGTGACAAAGTTTATATTCATTGGTATTTAAGAAATGAAAGTGATTTAATATAATCAATGCACGTAACAAAAATTTTGCAAATTATACAATTTTACTCAATTATGTACAAACTATCCTTTCCATTTTGATTTTTGCATTTTACTGTTTATAAATGATAAACAATACATTTACTAATTTCAAACAAAGAATTTGGGAAATTGCACACTTACACAGTCTTATTTCTGGTGGAGCTGAAATACTGACTCCTGTACAGTCCTGCTAAGTCATCTTTCAAAGGCCCAGTGAAGTTTATCTTTAGAGTGTAGTTTTTCCCAACATCAAAATTCTCTGGTGCATTAATCACCAAAAACTGTCTTGCTTTGTCTTCACTTCTTGTAAATCCAGTCACACTAGCATTGTCAGCCGTTTCCATCAACTCCACACTATTGATGGTTAGTTTATTAGTGTGAACTTTGATGACTTTGGTGGTTTCATTACAAAGCATGGTTATCTCCACCACACCATCAAAGGTGAAGGTCTCAGGGTCACTGCCATAGATGTCAGGTCGTAGCCACAACTTGTAGTAGTTAGGTAACATGGTGGTGGGTAGGCGGACATCAGAGGGCTTGGTTACTGTATCTGTGGGGCTAAAAAAATGAAATGTCACAGTCAGGTGTTTTTGAAATTCTGAAGCACTATTCACTGTAAATGAATGTTCACTCTGAACATTACCATTATAGTTTTTCAAACAGCTGTTATTGTACATAACTTGACATGAATATTCAATATAAAAGCATTACTATTTTATGTAATTAAAATTACATAGCAAAAGTAATTACTTCTTGTCAAACAATAATAAGATAATAGGTGGAGCATGTCTTGAACATCACTCAATAAAAAAAAACATGAAGCAAATACATAATACCAATATATATATATATATTAGAAGTCATCCAATATATCCCCAAATATATCATCCAATATATCATCCAAATATACCATCCAAAATGATGATTTCTGAGCCAACTTACTCTACATTTGCTGCCAGCCATTCTCCCAGTTTCTTTTCATTGGCTTGCATCCACTTGATATTTGCCTGTGTCTTCTCCACAGCTTGCTCAAAGGCACGCTGACCTGATCCTAGATTGTCACGGCTGGATATGAATTCATTCAACTAAAAATCAAGTGTAATCAAATTTTTCAATAATGAAATTTATTTATTTTAATCACTCTACTATATATCACAACTGTGATCCCAATAATCAACCATCTACATATGGTACGAATAAAACTACAATGATTTTTCTAAAACTTCAGTGGCTTAATATTTGTTTAACAATTCAAATTTCTTCTTATTTCCTTTACTACATCTGTTTATGTTGGCATATAAATATTTAAGAAGTAATCCCAAAGGCAAACTGCTTACTTTATCTAGTTCAAACTGTGTGTTGAAGTGAGTGGTAACTCCTCTGATGATACTGGAGAAAGAGAAACTTCCACCACCATAACTGTAATGAAGAAGTTATTAACTTTTTATAACAACACTTAGATTATATATGTATGTGAGCAAAAAAGTTCACTAGATTGCCATTTAAATATAAATCATAATTATCTGACACAATTTTTCCTCACAGTACAAAACTTAATTGCAGCCAACCTGGTCAAATGTCTTCATCAGGTTGACATAAGTAGATGTTGCTTCTCACTGACCGTAAGGTGGTACAACAGCCAGGACCCTGTTGTAAATGTCATGTACTTGAGTAGATCGAAAATGATATTGAATGCTTTTCAATCCTATCTTCCATGGCATCAACTCACATCAGTCTAATGAAAGCCTTCAGGTTGAACACTAGCTTATTTACTAGGTAGTACGGTGAGAAAAAATTATCCAGTTTGTATCAAATAATAATGATTTACATATATGTATATATTTTGAACATACATATATATAGTGATAACTTTTGCAAATAAAATAAAACAAACAAAAACTACACCAAACATCACCATATCAAACATAGCACAAATAATTGTAATCACCTAAATTAAATTACAAAACAGGTGAGCACCAATCTTCAAATTAAATGAAAAAAAATCAAAACTACATTTTTCAGATAATAAACAAATATCTACATGTATCTGAAGGTGACTTATAAGCTGCCAATGCAACAAACATGCAGTTTATTCCAATATTACACCCATATCAGAGATTTACTTACTCATTCATTAAAAAGTTCCATTTAGACCTAATGAAGTCCCAGGCAAGACCTCTTCCAATATGGTTCCTTGCAACATACACAATCACTGAGGTGCCATCTTGTTTACGAATCTCACTTGAAGTTATGGCATACTCCAGATATCTGATGAATGTGACAAACATATATCATCTTATCTATTCTCATCCAAACAACTATAATTAATAATTAAAGTTTTGAAATCCTAAAAACAAATTGGTCCACTGCTATTTACACACTTCCAATATAACAAACAACATGTAGTACATCTTAAGCACAAATTAGCAATTTATACCAACAGAGACATTCACCTGCTAAGAATCCAAGTTTGAGAACTACATGACAGTCCATACAGCAGCTTGACTTGTTCTGATGCCACATTGGCCTTCTTGTATCTTTCATATGTCCAGTCCCACATCTGGGAAGTACCTTTCTTAATGGCATTGCAATAGACCAAAGACTTCAAATTTGGTGGAATACTGTAAGAAAAGGCACATTCATTGCTTGACCAAACTATCCCCTAATCTTTTATTAATTATTGCACCACAACTGGCACTTCAAACAATAGGTTAATTGTACTTGTATATTTCGCATACAGGCTTGCCTGTATTTTCATATCCTTCGGTGCCTTTGTCCTATTGTTCGAAGTGCCAGCTATGGTATAAGACAGTTACAACTACTCTACGTCCACTGTCTGCGACATACAAGAGCAAACTATATCTCGGCTGCACCTTAATATAATTACGCTCGTGTATGGCCAACTCGTGTTGTAACTAGTACATATATAAATGAAAATAAATAATCACATATAATAAGATATGAAGTTTTAACCCCTTTTGTACAGAAGTTGATTGCAATCAGTTAAAACTGATCATTTGACCACAACACACTGTTTTGTGGTAAGATATAGACTGAATTCAATAGTTTCACAAAAACTACTTAAAACAGTCAGACCCTACTCACGGGTTATCCTCATCAGGGTTTGCCGAATTCATCCAACTGTTGAACATCTCTGTGGCTTTATCCAGGCAAGGTTGGTATCCATAGGCACAGGCTCTACCCAAAGCATTGATCCTATTGTAACTGAAGAGATATGTCAAGTAAAGGAAAAGTTGAAAAGAAAGAACAAAAACAAAATATGAAACCCAACATTCATAAGATATTTTTAACAGTGTGGCAACAGCTTATTTTAAAGATGACAAACAAGACAGACATATGTAGTTTATTATAAATCCTTACTGTTCAAGGTGCTCTCCAGGCCCTCCAGTATCCTCCCATCCCACCCTGTTGTACAGTGGTAATATCTGGTGCAACATGTACTTCTGGAAATCACAAGATTGATATTAAGATTAATAGATAAATTAAGGCAATGTCTCACCAAAAATGGTACTTTCACTGTTCAAACTCACTATGGAAATAAGATATATACATGCTAAGCTAAATCCATTTGTACATCAATGATTTTGAAATACTAGATATATCTGGATAATTTCATGGCACTAAAAATGAGGAATACAACCAAACCTGTTCAAATATTAAGTGAATAAATAAATATCTCCATTTGGTTGCATGTGAGTTCATGATTTCTGAGGGTAAACCTCACACCAATTTCTCATTTTGTATTGACTGTTCCTACCATTTTATATTGGCTGGTTTTCCAAATAATTGCTTATTTAAGGCAACAATGATAACACCTGTTGGCATCTCAAAAGCAACAATTCACTGCAATCCTGCACCTTGCAGAAGAGAACTTGAAAGATATACCTGGTAGTTTCCATAGTGTTGGGTTTTGCTCATCATAATGTCCAAGTAACCAACATTCAAGAGTGCTGCCTCCCACGGGATGTACTCTGTTTCTTTGGACAAATACTTGGTCGTCTGCATAGCTAGCTCTATGTCTACAGCTGGATCAATGCCAGAACTAAAAGAACACATTTTAAATTTTTAGCATTTTATCTTCATATTTTAGGTATTACATACGTATTATGTATTTAAAAAAAACAAATAACTTAATTACAACTGAATAGCAAAATTGAATATAAGGAGGACCTCATATTTTGAAAAAAAACACCAACTAATACCTCATACTTTCAAAGAAGATGCAAAAAAAATTAAAAACAACATTTTGGTCAGATTAATTTTTCTCCCTTAAAACTGAACATATCATTTAAAAGCTCTATTCATCATTCTTACTTTGCTATGTTGAAGGCATCATCTATAATTTGAGCTCTGTTTTTCACATGTATCATCTGAAAAAAAATGTTCCAGATGTACTTTAAAAATGATATGAAAAATCCATGGGGTCTTTTAAGTTTGCTGTAAAAAGGAGCACATTAAATATGTCCATTTCTTTTAAGAGATTTACAAAGGACACCATGTATGGTTGTAGAAGGCAATGCTCTAGACCTATCATTTGTAATGAATCAGAGTGCTTATTCCTTCCATGCCATGAATATCACTTACCCTGTGATGAGTGTTCAGTTGATTGAGGATGTTGTCCCAATTCTTCCTGTCATAGTTGACCCTGTAGTAGCCATACTGCTGAAGATTGCCAATCACCCAACCATCATCTCCAACATTATTCAAGTCAGTTGTATTAAGACTAACTGTTAAAACATAAAAGCACAAGAATGAACATGGTTCTAAGCACCTTTGTTAACGCCAATAAATATGAAAATGAAGCACAGTGAAAAGATTGACAATTTCTAATGTTCCAGAAAATCTCCTGCTGTGTGAATGACAATTGATAGTGTACTATAGTGAAAATGGTGGCAAATTCTAAGTAAAAAGGACAAGAGGATGTTTAATATTCAAGCTTTAATTAATACTGGACTTAATATCTTACTTATCCTTCAAACTGTGTAACAGGTAAAAAATAGTTTTTGTTAGAAATGTAGTTTTACTGTCATTTTTTTTCATCCATCTTATGGTGCCATTCCACATTGGAGAATTACTTGTGGTGAGAGTTAAAGGTATCTCCCATTTGTAACTGAAAAAAATATTATAGTATTGAGAAAATAGTTTTAACATGGATCTTGAACCTACCTTCATCAGAGTCACCAAAACTATTTGAAAAGAACTGAAATTTAAAATGTTTAAAAGTAACTTTCATATCACTGACTTGAAATAAAGATCTTTTGCATAAATCCCAACTTACTTGAAAGGTGAAGGATATTTAGGGTTTGGTTCTACAGTTGGATCTATGAGAAAATGAGACTGTGATACAGTTGATGGTTGTTCACTGTAGGTTCTGTTTATCTTGACCACTGGGTAACCCATCTGGAGTGTCCAAGTGTCCATTATTGTCTTCACATCCACCGGGTGTCCATCTTCTCTGGTTTGCTGAGAAAATACAAGCATAAATTAAATTTTTTCAAATTAAAATATAATTTGCTCTATCAATAAAAACACTCTTATAATTATGGTTCTTTGAATTCTATGAAGCACAAATACTGCATTTTACTTTTTTTTTGTCAAAAGATGTCAACATTAGAGGGAAGATCAAAACATGTCTTGCACTGAGCCATAAATACAAAAAAATATGCTTCTTACAGCTTACAAAATAAATAAAGGAAATAATTTACAGAAACAGGACATAAATGCACATATCTGAAGCTTCAGTTGCTGCCAGCCTGCTAGATATTAATTTACCTCACTGAGGGCAGCCCATAAATCATCATGTGTGGCAACATCATAGGCATGCCTGTTAAGGTAACGCTGTTTAAGAGAAAAAGTAATTGCATTATCTATCATATCTTGTTGGGTAAGAAAAATTCAATTTTGCAAACTACATGTGTGCAATAAATGCTATATTTATGAGGTAGTTCACAATTTCAAAATTCCAGTATTAAAAAAAAATTGAAACACCCAAACTTACAGTTATATGTTATTTAAATATTTATGCTCACAAGGCTACTTAATTATATATGTATATTCCTAACTTAAAAAACATTTTATTAAGAAAACACATACTGTAAGGCCTCTTCTAAACACATCCTCAGTCAAAAAGTTGTTCATCATGCGTATAATTGATGCTCCCTGAAATATAAGAAGTGATAATAAGCTATTTTGTAAGAGACAATCATATTTCTAAATACTTAGAGAAATGTTTTCAAGGATGAAAGAAACATTTGTCAGCCTTCATTATACACCTCTTAACTAACAATTAATTTTCAATATAATATTCAAAGGAACAATACCTTAGCATAAGAGATCCTGTCAAATATCTCATTGATCTCATCAGGATGTCCCACAGGAACATAGATGGGGTGAGAGTTGGCCAGGCCATCCAATTTGAACACATCCTCAAGATCTTCGACTAAAAACTGTTCCATCTATTTAAAAAAGTCATTATGTTATATGCAACTATCATTTTTTTATTTCAAAATGTCTCTTAAAGACAGAGGCATATTTCCTTTTACATGCTCTCTGGATCACCAGAACATTTTCCCCATTTGGGCATGTTATGAAAAAATGTTCAAAAAACTTGGTTTCTAAATCACTAAATACACAATTTTTACCTTATGGTAACCTTCAAGGTCCTCTTTTTCAGACATTTAAATATTCAATAGTTTCACATCACATGTATTCCAGCCATATATCATTACCATTTTCCATGTTGATTCAATGAAGTCCACCCCCAGGTATTCCACATAGCTGGCAAATCCTTCATTAAGCCAAAGGTCATCCCACCACAGTGGAGACACAAGGTTACCAAACCACTGGAAGGCATATCACACATCATAGGATGAGTTGAATTTACACGTAACCTCAATACTGAAGGATTTTTTTTAATGAATTAATATTGTAATGGAAAATTGTGACCAACCATCATTTTTCTTTCAATTAATGCATAGGTATTTGAGGTATTTTGCACATTTTCAGTTTAAAATTTCATCTTTAATCTACCCACCTGATGGGCCAGTTCATGTGACACAACCACTGCCACTCTCTGTTTATTACTAGCAGACGACACTTTAGGATCATAGAGAAGAGCTGTCTCCCTGTAAGTAATCAGACCCCAGTTTTCCATGGCTCCAGCAGCAAAGTCTGGGATGGCTATCATGTCTAAATAAACAATTCAAAATGTTCAATGTTTACTACCAGCAGATGACACCTTGGGATCATATAGCAGAGCAGTTGCCGTGTTAGTAATCAGATTTCAGTTCTCCAAGACTCCATGCAGTTGCGAAGTCTTGGATTGTTTTACTTGGATGTTTTTTATAATTATAAATAAATGTCCAGGATACCAAGTTTTACACCTTATGGAATAAAGTAGTCATTTACTGATAAACAATTATGACAGGTGTAATTTTATGAAACCTCACCTTGTTTTGGAAGAGGGAAACTTATGTTATAGTAGTTTTCAAAGTGTTCCAGAATATTAACTCCAGCATTCAGAGCATAAGCTGTCTGGTCCTCGGCTTCTCGTCGTGCCCAAACTCTGACCTACAGGCGACAGGAAAAACAAGTTAAAAGTTCTTCTTAAATTTGTTTCATTTTGTTTTGAAATCATTACCAAGGTATCCTTTTTGAATACAAACATTAAAGGCAAAATACAAAAAATTCAAATGCATGTCTCAGTGGGTCTGTTTTTCACTGGAAAATCCTTAATAAATTGCCAGTGAAACAAATTATTTTAAAATGTTAAACAAGGCAGCAAAGCTGTCAAATGTACAGACAAAAAACAGAAAATAAAGATGCAAAATGGGTCATTTTGTCAATTTTGATGCAATAATAAATAATGCTTATAATAGCACTGTCAGTCAACACTGAATTTTAATCATGCACAACAGGTAAAATGGTCAATAACATGAGTGGACCCAGAGATATTTTCTGACAGTATTCCAAAGTATCTATTTTGATCCATCCTCCATTTTGATGGTCTTCCAACAGAAGAAAAAATAGATACCAGGCAATATAAACTTAATAACCTGACTGTCTTCCGGAAGACCCAGAAGATGGTCTCAATCAACCCTTTCAATAAGATTACAGTTTCAGGACCATGAGTTCAAATTCACATGATGAAAGTCTCAATATTTGAAAAATGATGACAGTGCATAAAATAATATTACATAAGTAACATAATGTTCAAAGACATAAAAAACAATACAACTGCTTATGTGGAAATACAGAAATGTCAGAGCCTCAGGTGGATGAGAGTTAANAAAGAAAGCATGGAGTATATCGGAATTGAAACCAGAGCAGTATGATGCCCTGCATCATTATCTACTGAGAGACGATGTTATTTGCGTGCTGCCCACAGGTTACGGCAAGACCCTGATATTCAGCCTTATCTTTGATTGGTCCGGATTTGAACAAAGCGCGCTTTGACTCGTTCGCGTTCATTGGCTAGATCGTTTAATGAGTCATTGAGTGCGGGCTTTTAAATTTGATTGGCGGGCGGCGGAGGCAATCGAATCTGGTCAGAGGTTACTTGACACGATGGAGATAGGCTACAGTGAAAAGGTTAGTGTCAAGTTAGCTCTGAAGCTCAGGGTGACTAAGGGTGGAGAAGCACTTTTTCACAAAAAGAGCCTCTTTTTTGAAAATTGTTGGCTACAAGCCTGAGAGGATATGGTACTTGTGTGTGTGCTGGAGGATTTGTTGGTTGTTATGATTTTGACAGATAAATGCAATATTACATACTGTTCAATATGATCTCCAGTATCCTCCCAACCAACTTTGTTGTACAGAGGTAATATCTGGCCTAACATGTATTTCTGCAAAAGAAGGTGAAAGGTTAAAAAGAATAACTTAAACAAAGTTGTAAATGAGTATAAAGCCAAGAATTTTGATTAATGTAAAAACTTTAATCACATTTTACTACTACATGTAATTTGATCATATCAGTCATCAAAATAAAATGGAATGCAGGATTCTAAATATTACAACACTGAGCTGTAAATGTACAAATACAACATTACTTGTAACAAAAAATCTGAAAAGCACATGACCGAATGCTAGCTTCATCTCCCACTCCTGGTGATTCCTGTATATTTATGTAAACTTACACATAATTGATAAAAACTGATAATTCACAAAAGCTATCTGAAGATCCCCGGCCAGGGCATTGAAAATGCTCTTGTACTCTACCCACTGCTGCTTTATTTCTACTCTGGTAAATAACTTCCACAAACCCACTAGAGTGGTCCCTTGAAAAAATTGAAGCAACAATCAAAATCTGGTAATTCTGTTGAACTTGGAAAGAATAGAAAAAATCAAGTTCTGCACTCTGTATTCTACCTGGTAATTGCCATAAAGTCCTGTTTTGCTCAGCATGCGGTCAGTCTGTCCCATGCTTATCAGGGCAGTCTCCCATGGTATATAGTCCACCTCCTTGACCAGGTACTTGGTGGTCTCCATGGCCAGCACTATATCCACATCACTGTCCATGCCAGAACTAGAATTGAAAATATTTGTGAGGATAGGGGAACAGTTAATCACTTTATTCACTATCCATTCAGAAATATTTACTTCCTAAAAAAATTCAAAAATAAAAATTTAATCGAAACATAAGAATTCCAACAAAATGAAATGCTAGCTAACTGTTGAATGAATGATGAATGTTACTAGACAAATAAAGAAAAGATTTTAAAAGTCTCACAGGGAGTGAAAATATTTATTGATTTCACCACACACCAAATGACAAAAAAACTAAATGCAACTACCTTCCTATGTTGAAGACATCATCAATGATCTGAGCTCTGTTCTTCACATTTATTTTCTGGAAGGAGAAAACCATCACACCTTCACACATTTTTACAAAATCATTGACATGAACCACTTTATATACCCACAATAATCCAATCCAATATCCCTGTGACTTTAATATTGGGATTTCTAAAATAATTCACCATCATCTTGGCAAATGCAATCTAATGTATCTAATCAAATGCAATATTGTTAAGTTACCGTGTGATCATCTTGGAGTTGACTGAGAATGTTGTCCCAATTCTTCCTGTCATAGTTGACCCTGTAGTAGCCATACTGCTGAAGATTGCCAATCACCCAACCATCATCTCCAACATTATTCAAGTCAGTTGTATTGAGCATAACTAATGAAACAAGATGAAACAAGAAGTAATTCAACAATCTGTATGGCAAACAAAAGTTAGTTAGTATTGATATTTTTTATCTATATATTCAAAATCTAATCTTTCCACATGGAATGATTACCTTTACTTGGTCATTTTTACACAGAAAATTAGTTCTAATTATTTTAACATGGGATCTATTCAACATTTATTAATTTATCTAATTGTTATCATTATTTTCATCTTTTTTGTAATACTGATATTAAAATTCTAGTATACACACATTATAACACCCTCTCTATTCCTTATACAAATTTTCTTGAAAATAACACATCTAAAACCAAGTATATCCATGGACAAGATGTAAATTGTTTTACTATAACTCACAGTTTGCATCATTTTTATGCATCCACCTGATATCAGTTCCACCCCACTGTGGGTTTACAGAAGTTGTAAAGGTTAGGGGCACCTCCCACTTGTAGCTAGTTAGAAAATAACAAGACATCTTTATTTTCTAGACAATACCAGTAAGGCAAGAAATGTTCTTTGCTGGTTATATGTTTGTGTTTAAAAAGGTTTGGCTTTTTAAATACTATAATACAGTCAGGTTCATCAGGCAGTTTTGGCTATAATCCATAAACAAAGAAAAACTTTTTAAGAAAACATAAGTTTACAATCTGTAATACAGTCAAATGAAGGATGATGAATTCAACTTACTTGAACGGTGAAGGATATTTAGGGTTTGGTTCTACAGTTGGATCTATGAGAAAATGAGACTGTGTCACAGTAGCTGAGTGTCCACTGTAGTCCCTGTTTATCTTGACCACTGGGTAACCCATCTGGAGTGTCCAAGTGTCCATTATTGTCTTTACATCCATGAGTTCTCCTTCTTTTTGGGTTTGCTGAAATGGCAATAAGAATTTTTTTATAGTGAGTGTCATTGTAATTAAAAACAAAAGTCTTAATAAAATTATTTGTAAACATCAATGAATTTCAATCATCAAACAATTTTTCACAGGATATTTGAACTATTTTATTAAAAATTTGTAAAAGTACATTGTCTTTTTATAATTTTGTGAAAGAATCACAAAAATTCCCCAGTGATTCACATTACCTCAGTGAGGGCATTCCACAGGTCATCATGTGTGGCAACATCATAGGCATGTCTATTAAGGTAGTGCTGGCAGAAAAAAAGTAAATCAAATTTATCTTAATATCTCATGTGACTGTAACATATTAACATTTAAATTTCAAAAATTGCAAAAAATCATAATGCTGCAATATCTTTTAAGTATTCACCATTATATATGCAGTAAGATGCAATGTCCAGGAAGAGGTGATTAAACACAAACCCAGGACCAGAAACATGACATATACCCCATACAGACATATTGGGAAAAGATATAAAATATTTCTAAAAAATTTAGTTTTTTCCATGATATTTAAAGCACCATGACATCCTTAATGCCTCTTACTGTGAGTCCTCTCCTGAATAGATCTTCTGTCAAGAAATGACTCATCATCCTTATAATAGAGGCACCCTGGAATTTACCAAAATGATATAAAGATACATGTACAATCAAGCAGGCTGAAGAGACAAACAAAAGGACCAATAGAGTGAGCTAGAAGAAAGAAAAACGACACGATTTTTGTTGCTTTGCATAACGCCACATATATTCGGTAGTTGCATATTAATTTCTCTTCAATCCACTCCCACTCTCTCATCCTATCAGATCCATGTTAATACTGACCTTGCTGTATGATATTGTGTCAAATATCTCATTGATCTCATCAGGATGTCCCACAGGAACATAGATGGGGTGAGAGTTGGCCAGGCCATCATAACCAAACACATCGTGCAAGGCCTCGGTAAGAAATTGCTCCATCTGATACAATGAAAAAATTAATAGGTTACTTTTTCTAAAATTTTACCACCATATCAATCAAGGACTTAATTTACCCAAGTACCAAATGAAATCGGGTTTGGACTAATTTGTCCTTTTTTAGTTATTATCCATCATGAACCTTATCTAAAGCCAAACAGCCACAAAATCTAATAATTACTGAGGGGGATTGGAATAACTTATGACAATCTAGTATCACAAATGAATGTATTTAAGATAATTATTTCTTCCAAATTTATTGACAATAAATTCTTTCAAATTACCATCTTGAAAGTTGGTTCTATGAAGTCCACTCCCAGGTACTCTACATAGCTGGCAAACCCTTCATTAAGCCACAGGTCATCCCACCACAGTGGAGTTACCAGGTTGCCAAACCACTGGAAAACAAAATTGTTTACTTGCATCATCTCATAAAGAGAAGTAAATTTTGCACCTAAAAATAAATGCAAGTAGCAGTAATAACTTTTGATTAAACTAAAATAAATTTGAAATGTCTAAACAAATGATTGTTCATTAAAAATGTGTATAAACATTCTTAATTCAATGACCATATTTTCAATGAGGGCAGACATTTGGACAGATATTCTGCAACCATATCCTTTGAATACCATACCCAACTGATCTGTTCATTCATGGAAGACTACCTTAGCTACCCATTGCTCATTCCCAGCAGGTGACTCTTTAGACAGTGGATGTGCTAGTACAAAACAACAACAACAACAAATGCAGGACTAACTACAGTGTGACATTTTCATCTACCTACCTGATGGGCCAGTTCATGTGACACTACCACTGCGACCCACTGCTTGTTGCCAGCAGACGACACTTTAGGATCATACAAAACAGCCGTCTCCCTGTAAGTAATCAGACCCCAGTTTTCCATGGCTCCAGCAGCAAAGTCTGGGATAGCTATCATGTCTAAAAAGAGTAGTTTTTTTACATTTAATATCAGCTGTCTTCACGATATCAATCAGACCCCAGTTTGACAAGACTCCAGAAATAAAGTCAGAGAAATGTTTAACGAAGAAAGAAATTTATTATTCTCTTTTCCCAATTGAATCAGAATAAAAAGATTATTCACAAGTCAGGTATATTATTCTTTTTCACAGAAAAGATATTTCCTTTTTTATATGTCTCAAATATTAAATATCTTAGAGGATTTTGAAATACAAATATTGCAGTCATATTTGCTTCGTAAAAGGGTTCTGTCCTTACCTTGCTTTGGTAGAGGGAATGTAATGTTGTAATAGCCTTCAAAGTACTCCAGTATGCGTACTCCAGCATCCAGTGCATAGTATGCCTGGTCCTTAGCTTCAGGTCTGGCCCAGACTCTGACCTGTAAGCATGAAACAGATATTGTTATGAATAAATTTCCTATTTCTTATAAATAAAAACTCAAAAAGTGACTTAAAAATACACCCCAAGTTTCACTGTCTACTGGAAACTTATCTCTTAATATCGCTTATACCTGTCAGTTCCCTGAAACTAAGGGTGCATTTATTGCCCTTAGACAACTGCATGGCTGGTTACTTGACTATCCTTTTCTTCCCACAACTATCCACACCCTGTCCACATGTACAGGTTTTGCTTGCTAGCTCTATAATTTTACCTCAGACTTACCTACTTATTGTCTCTATAAGCAATGTTTTTTTAAATTTTAATACAGACTTATCTATAATACAGACTTACCTGTTGCATCACAAAAACTGAATGCAGTCAATCTTATACAAAAACTAATAGTCAGAATGTATGAGGATTGGATTTTTTAATTTTACTACTCACTATTGTGTTTCTGGATGTGGTATTTTCGACATAGTCAAAATCACATATAATGAAAGCCAGGAGGTATGTGGACATTTTAAGGGTGGGGTGGTAATGATCTGCAACCCATCCACCTGATCTGAAATTAAAAAAAGGATAGCTTCCAGATAAAGACAAAATCAATCAGAAGTGGAAATAAAATTATGTGAACAATTATGTGACAACTCAAATGGAATCAAGTTATATCAATATACAGATTTAAATTTTTATTAGGCATAAGTTACAATAAGCTATTTTACCTCTTAATTTCATATCAAAACTAAAAGTGTTTATCATTGAAACCTTTCAGATTCTTCTAGTCTTTCTGATTCTTTTCTGGGGTGAAACTATTTTTTAAAGTTTACTCTTGTAAATTTTAATGTTTTCATCATAAATGAAAATGTAGAACACCGCCAGTTCTTACTCAGTTGTACTACTTCTGATTGGCATGTTGGACAAGGATTTCATGGAGTCTTTCCTCCACAAAGTCACTTCAAAGACAGCTCTAAATGCAGGTTCATCAAAGCAGGGGAAAGCTTTTCTGGCATCTGTGGGCTGCATCTGTGTGGTGGCAATGTGGCTGAAGAGAACACAGGCAATAATATCTAAAATGGTTACACAGTTTCTTCAAACCATAACAGTCAGACTGTTCATGCAATTTTATTGCTATCAGATAAGGTATACAGGGGCGGATCCGCCCCTGGTATATATGGGAATCCATGCACCTTCAAACAATCATTATACACTTTTAACTGACAAAGTTAACATCCATGATACAGTAATCAAAAAACTTACTTAACACAAATTCTGGCATTTAATTTCCTCTATCAATATATGTATTGGAAATATTTCTATTTTTTTCTAGTAATGAACAGAAAATCAGAGTGCAAATTAAACAACTTACACTGTCTTATTCCTTGCAGTACTGAAATATTGACTTCTGTAAAGTCCAGCCAGGTCATCCCTTAATGGTCCTTCAAACTTCATCTTTAATGTGTAATTTTTTCCTTTTTCAAGATCACGTGGCAGATTCAGAATGAAAAACTGATTTTCAGTGTCCATTTTGGTGTTTGATATTGCTAATGGGTCTCTGTTTTCATCCATTAATTCCACATCACCTTCTGGGATGGTCAGCTTATTGCTGTGAAGTTTTATCTGTGGTGTGCTTTCATTGCAGAAAATGGTGATTTCTACTGATCCAGAAAAGTTGAAGCGTTCTGGGTCATTTCCATAAATATCAGGTTTTAGATCTAGTTTATAGTAGACTGGATGTAAGGTAGAAGGCAGACGGACATCATTTGAAGTTCCAGGGTCTGGAGTTCTGCAGGAAAGAAAAACAAAACATATGAAACTGCTTTTCTTAATAACTTAAGACTGTGGTAATTAAGTCAATTTTTTTCCATGCATGATATGCACACACATATTTATCATCATCCCCAGCTTTCTAAAAGGCAGCCGACTAATTCCTTTTGTTGACACCACTATAAAATGGGCCCCAATAAATCTCTCTCTCTTTAGTGTTCTGTGTTAGTGTAGTAGGTTCAAATAAATCAATTCACCTATCATATATCAGTACATATCTCAAAACAGTGATCATATAATTCTTCTATAAATCATATAAATCACATAAGATTCTAGGACTCAGGGAATCGCAATGATCTCCTCAACCTTGTTCACAACACTTACATCCCTCCACTTTTCAGCCAATCTCCCAGTTTCTGTTCATTGGCCTGCATCCACTTGATATTTGCCCGTGTCTTCTCCACAGCTTGTTCAAAGGCACGCTTACCAGATCCGAGATTCCCTTTGCTAGACATCAGAGCTTGAAGCTAAAATTTGAATAAAACTGGCTTAATTCTAATTTAGTACATTGAGTGATGAGTATTCATAAAGTACCAGACAACCCCCAAATTTTTTTTTCAAAGAAATTATAGAATAAATAAATAGGGATTGATGTGCTCAGACTTCAACCCAAGATCCTTGGATTAAAGAACAGATGCTATACCCACTCCGCCATGTTTACCAGATAGTGTTAAGCAATGCAGATCACTTGCTGCACAAGGGACACTGGCCACATTCAGAACAGTGGACTAACTAGTTCGAGGATCAAATATGGCCAACCCACTTGAATACTTTACCACGAGAAATCTATTCAGTGTCTATTAGTGGATCAGATAGCAAGCTTTTTAGGGGGGGTGTCATATTTGACCCGCGACAAGTTAGTCCACTGTTCTGAATGCAGCCACTGTCTACACATGCCATCATGCATAAAAACAGAGCGAACTTTCATAATCAAAATTCAATCAGGACCATACCATTACTTTACCTTTATTACTTTTCTAAGGCATAATGTTAAAAACATATTCACAGCAGTATATGCTTGTTAATTGTTTCATGAATCATGATGCTACATAATATGTAATAATCTTACTTTGAATTTTCATTTTTTCAAATCTTACCTGCTCTAATTCAAATTCAGTGTTGAACCAGCTAGTCACACTTGATATTAATGTACTGAAGTCAAATGGCCCACTACCATATCTATAAAACAAACATCTTTCAAGAAGATCATTTCCAAACTATTCCCAGTCAGTCAGGATTAGAGCAGATCCCAAAGCATTGTCTTACCTGTTCTAGTTCAAATTCAGTATTGAAGCCACCAGTCATGCTTGAAATTAGGGTATCAAAGGAAAACAAACCACCAAACCTAAAAACAAATACTGCCATGTTAGTAGATGTTAGTATTAAGCTGGCACATTGGTAGCATCACCCAAGCATGTTAAAATCAGAATTATCATTAAATGTGTTTTAAATACCCCTTCAGAACCATTTGCAAGCACATTGATATGTATAATATAAAGATGAAATGCAGCTTTAGGGGAATCATTTTCACTTGGAGCACATATTCAGAACAGTGACTAACAGATCCAGGGATCAAATACTTCAACCCACTAAAAAGCTTGCTGCTTAATTCCTGATTATAGGCCGAATAGATTCCCCACGAGGATTACCCAACAAGCATTCAAGTGGGTCACCCATATTCAATCCATGGATCTGTTAGTCTGCTGTTCTGAAAGAGCTCTTTCATAATAGTTTGATTGACCAACACTTGTCTGCCCATAACATGATGATCATTGTTTTCTGGGGGATAATTGTCAAAAATTGAATAATGAAATAAGCTATGCTAGCTAACTGTTGAAGGAATGATGAATGTTACTAGACAAATGCTGTAATGTAAAGTTATGAAAGGGATTGAGAATATGATCCAATTAGTAGTAAACATCACTGATGTTAAGGAACTTAATTTTGTGTTAAACTTTATAAAAAATACCTGTGAAGCCAAAAAGAAATATGCCATTTTCATTAAGTTATTAGTATATATAGTCTTAAAAATAAATGCAAATGTATCCAACATAAAATCTGCACACAAACATTTAAAACAAATGTGAATTTTTCATTACGAAATGTTCTAGTCATAATAAGCTTACAAAATAAATGCAAATGTATGCAACATAACACATAAAATATATCAAAACTACATGTAGAAATATCAGTTTTTTAAATGTTTCAATGCAATTTTCAAAAGTTGAAAATCACCATATGGTATTTACTTGCTTTTCAGATGAGTTCAATCTTTACTTACTCAGCAAATATCTTGTCCCAGTTTGCCCTGAAGAAATTCCAGGCCATTGATTTTCCAATAGAATTCCCTGCAATGTTTGCCATCACTGAAACTGCATCTTGCTGACGCACCTCTTTCCTGTCCATTGAATACTCCAGATATCTGTTTAAATGGGAGATAAAAATTTAGCACAACAACCAAATAAATTAATAAATAAAAGTTTAACTGTTTAAGAATTCTTTGACTGGCAATGAGTGGGAAATTAAATCATATCCTTCATCAAAGAAAAAGTAGATTTGGTTAAAATTTGACAGCAGATACGATTTACCATTATATATCTATTTCCCATTAGTATAGGACTGCATTACATTTGACATGTTACAAAGAATTTATGGTTAAGTTTTAAAATCATGTTTTTTTATATTGTTTATATTTTTTAAAAATTAAAGTATGCAACTTAAAATTCTGTAATATATCTTGTTTGTGCAACTCATCTCTATCACCTCATTCTATTCTTTGACAAAAAATATGTATCACCTTAGAGGTTCATTACCTAATTGTTTCACAGATACTATTTTGACTATGCCTAGTTGCATAAGATTCCATGTAATTTCCATCTTTATATGTTCAACTCTCACCTATTCAATATCCAAGGTTCATTAGAGCAGGTCAAGGCTACTATCAGCTTAGATTTCTCTGCAGCGACATTGGCTTTCTTATATCTCTCATAGGCCCAGTCCCATTCAGTCTGCCCTCCATTTTTGATGGCATAGCAGTACACCAAACTTTTCAGGTCAACCTTGATCCTAAAATTTGAATTTATTACCATTCAAAGAAAACATATACACTTTCTTCAAAAAAGAGTCATGTTTTTTGCTAGAAGAGGGCACCAAAACAGCTTTGCACAACCATGTACATCCATGACTACACTAACTGCAGATTTTTTTTTTTTTGGTATAGGTAAATTCATTCTATATTGCCATAATAATGAGATACATATGTACATAATAGGATAACGTCAAATCAATTAATAAAATTAGATTTTTTTATTGTAACTTCAATAAATTTTACAACAAAATTGTTTCAAACATAAAAAACATGATGCCTTGTGATAAAACAATAAAGAGTAATTTTTCATATAGTTAAATTCTTATGGTAAATGTATAATACCTTAATTCAATAACAAGCTTCAAGCAAAAATCACAAGAAAATGAACTTAATTTCACTATCTCCCTTTTGCAATCACTGGAAATGGAAACTGAGGGTGAGATATTAAGTTACTTACGGATTATTTGCATCTGGGTTGGGTGTGTTCATCCACTGCCTGAAAAGATTAGTGGCTTCATCCAGACAATGCTGATGTCCATAGGCGCAGGCATGGCCTATCGCACTGGTTCTGCTGAAGCTGGAAATATTTTGAAAATTGTTATCGATGGTGCCATGCTCTGATAAAGTTATTAAATACTTCACTGAAACTAAAACAAATTAAAATATGCATATATGTGAGCCTTATCATCATTTTTATGTAATGCACAGAGTGATCTGCATATGCTCCAGTTTCCCACAGTTCAATACAGAAACACCAACAGTATCCAAAGAAAACACAAAATATGGTTATTGGTATATGACAAAGAACAATCTTTAAGATTCCAAGAAAACCTACCTCTCCACAGGGTCATCAATAGTTGCCCATCCATGTCTATTGTACAATGGAAGAACCAGACCAAGCATATAAGCCTGAAAGCATTCATATAAAAAATCATATCTGGTGAAATATTAAATTAGCACTTCACTCCATTACTGTTACATTTAATTAAATCCAGACTGTTGTTACAGTAACATTTTATGGCACTTTCGCCATAAACAGAAAGTGGACAGTATTTGGATCTATAAAATTTTTTCTATGTTGCCAATGACATTGTGTCTTCCCTTTAAACAACTGAAGTTGGAAGATGAAGCCTCATTTTCTTAAATCAAAGGTATAAATACCTTGAAATACAGTAACATTTTATGGCACTTTCGCCATAAACAGAAAGTGGACAGTATTTGGATCTATAATTTTTTTTCTATGTTGCCAGTGACACTGTGTCTTCCCTTTAAACAACTGAAGTTGGAAAAAGCCTATAAACACCTTGAAATTTCCAAAGTGTGATGTTCTGCTCAACATGGAGTGTATATAACCAATATTGTTGAGTGCAGCTCTCCAGGGCATGTATTCAAAGTCCTTGTCTAAATGCTTGGTGGTCCTCATTGCCAGTATGACATCCACATCTGGGTCTGAACCAGATCTGAATAAAAACACATGATTCAGTTTAAGCTGTTGCAAAATGATTTAAAACAATCAGTTAAGTTACAACCTGGATAAATATGATAATCTGCAATCAACAATGCTGAAAGCTTCATTATATGGTAGTGCATGTATTTATAAATAACCAGATCACTCAAGAACTGACAAAATATTTCAAAAATATAGTTGAACAAAGCACTGCAAGAGTTCAGCTCTATTAACAACCTTTCTGTTTACAAACCTCGCGATGTTGAAAGCATCATCAATAAGTTGAGCCCTGTTTATAACATGTATCATCTGAAAAAGAAAAAAAACATGCTGTGGTGAATGTGAATTTCACTTTCTACAGATTATGAATTCATATCTGTTTAATCTTGATTAAAGTACTTACAGGTTAATTTTAAAAAGAATCACTTACATTGTGGTCAGTGCTTAATTGCCTTATAATATTCTCCCAGTTCTTCTTATTATAGTTGACCCTGTAGTAGCCATACTGTTGGATGTTGGCCACCACCCAATCACTGCTGCCAATGTTGTCAAGGTCAGTGCTTTTGTCAAGAGTTACTACACAAAAAATGTGGAATATCACCATAAGAATGAATCAGGAAAATGGGAAATTGCTTCCATTTTTGTCATGGATTCAATACAAAAATTAACGAAAATTATAGATTTAAAAAATATATATATGAGCCAAAATGTGTCTTGAAACTGGCCATGCACTTTGCAAAACCTAAATACCTAAATTATTCCATTTAGAAAACAATATTTTAAACCAAAGGAATAACTATCAACATCACCAAATGAGGCAATTAGATGTATTCAATCTAAACAATGTAAGAATTCATTTTATCATGTTTAAGTCCTATTCTAAGAAACAATTTTACTTATATCCCTATAATAGTTATAGTTAGCAATCTTTAAAAAATGATTGTATTTATAAACATTCATCAACTTTCTAAACATTTCATAATATCTTTATATATTATATAAAAATAAGGAAAAAATTTATAAAAGTTAACACACACACACACACACACACACACACACACACACACACACACACACACACACAAACACACACACACACACACACACACACACACTAGACCAAAATAGTTTGGAAACATAAAACTGTTTTTCGATAATTAAAAAACTATGAAGTGTATAGTGGAAAAATCTTCAGTGTATATTAAAAAGTTAAGAATGGTGGGTGCATTAAAATCAATAATTGGTAAAAATATTTACTTTAGCTTATATGGTTATTTTACAATTATTTGAAATAACGATGTTTGAGAACTTTTTGGTGATTATATAGATCTTAAAAAATAGAAAATAAAACATAATTCCTACTATCTGTTTGTGACATCCACTTGATTCTATTCCCCTCCCACCTTGGTTGCTTGGAGGTAGTCAATGTCAGAGGAATCTCCCATTTATAACTGAAATTTTCATAAAATCAGTCATCTGAGTATAACTTGAAATATAAACTGTGCACTGTAAGCACTCTTCTTTGCCACATAGAATTGATTTAATGAAACTATTTAGCCAAGAAGATGTCACATGATAACAGGAGATTTTTGTAAAGAAAACACTCTGTGTTTACCCCATCTGTCTGTCTTTAATGTTATAGACCATGAAGGTATTTGACTGCCCCTTTGTAGACAGCTGAAAATAATTTACTTTGACAGAAAAGGACCTCTTCTCCTGTCATGTGACTGCAGATCCACACTATCATACTAAACACAAAGTCAAGCATAAGATTTTAAAGAATTTTAATTCTTTTAATTTTAATGTTAATTTTTAAAAAAACTATCATATGTTATAATTAATATACCTCATACATGTAAAATTAACATTAATTGTTTGGACATAATAGTTGGACTATAGCTCACTTATATGGACTTGGGTACTTAGGACTGGGCTCCACAGAGGGGTCAATCAGGAAGTGTTTCTGGGTCACACGTACAGCACCAGTCGGGGTGGTGTTGTCCAGGTCTATCTTGACCACAGGGTAGCCCATCTGTAGTGTCCATGTGTCCATCACCTGTTTGACATCAATGCCTGTAGCCTCCTGTGTTCAAAATGTCAAAAAAAGAAATTATTCAGCAAATTAAAAGATCGACTCCAGGAAAAGTGGCAAGAATGTGCTATTCATACAAACCTTCAGTTTTTGATGACTTCTAGCCTCCTATACAGAAAATGAGTTGCACTTTAATTGAAGATTTCAAATAGTTTGTCCCACTTGAAAATCTTAATAAAAAAATAGAGAGGAAACAATAATGTTAATCTTCAGTATATGTACACACACATAAACAATTTCTTCCATTCTGAATTGATAAAAACTTATTCATGTTTTGGGGGTATTTTCAAACATTTTACTCCATATTTCTCTACTGCTTCTTTACCTGAGACAGTGAAGTCCAAAGATCATCATGGGTGGCTACATCATACGCATGCTTGCGAAGATAACTCTAAATGAAAATTGTAAAGCATCTTTTGAAATGAAAGCTGTCACCATGCAAAATCATGCAAAAAGTCTAGTTTGTATAGCTTTTTGTGTAAAGTTCACATTACAGATCTCAATCCAGATACTACATGTAGAGTATAGAGGCCTTTCAAAAGCAAAAACAAATGTAAATGTTTATTTAAGTTTTTTCGGTTCAAGTTTCTAGAATTTCCTTTTATATATATATACAACTTCATACATTGTTACAAGTATGGTAGAGCTCACCGTAAGTCCTTTCCTAAATGTATCCTCAGTAAGAAAGTAGCTCATCATGCGGATAATGGATGCTCCCTAGATAAAAAATATGCATTCATACAGATTAAAACAGTGCATTCATATAGATTTATAAAACATTGGAGGCTTTCTTGCATATATCTATTCTATAAAGTTGATTGATAGTCTTATGCAGTCTGTACTACTGCCATCATAAGATCCAGAAGTCAATTTTTGAATCAATGTCTGGTAGTAATTTTAGACTGCTACAAATAATTGGAAACCAATTTTAAATTATAAAATAGCATTAAAATGGCATTCAAACAACATACATACATACATAAATAAAAGATATAATAACAATTTAAAATTTTATATTTTTTCTATCTATTAGAATTGTTTGTGATTCTAAAATCACTTACTTTGAAAGGGGAACAATATTTGCCTTCAACGGGGGGAACAGGAAAACAGCTTTTGCCTTCAATTGTCACAATTATTTAAATTTTTTCCACATGTAACTAGCTTCTTTCTGGTGGACACTGTTGTTTTCTACATCAGATATTCATAAAAGGAGAAAGAGGCGGGGTTTTCTATGATGTATGTGTGACAGTTGTTCATCAACCAAGGGACAGAGATAATATTAGCAAATGAAGCAGGTGGAGTGCAGCATTTAACAGATCTAAAGAGGAGGTAAATAATGTAAAAATTGTGAATCTATAATGACTGTTTTGTAATAACCAACCTTGTTGTAAGAGATAGAGTCAAATATCTCAATGATCTCATCTGGATGGCCCACTGGGACATAGATGGGATGGGAACTTGCCAAACCATCAGGTCTGAATACTCCTTGAATGTCTATTGATGGGAATCTCAACCCCTGGAATGAAAAAATGTTACATCAATAATAAATTACAATCTATCAATGAAATCTTGGTATCTTGATACTATCTTATCCTTTCCTTACGTAATTTTTGTAAGATACTAGACAGCTTACAAGCAGGTGACTTCCGTTTCCCTGAAGTAACTAACTAAATATCAAAAAAGAAAATTATATATAATTTATTAATATTCAGTGAAAAATCTAATTAAAAATGGATATGCATGGGATAACTCTGGTCTCTTACTACAAAATTATATTTTATATACCAGTTTAAATTCTTTTGCAAAATTATCCACTCCCAGGTATTCCACATAGCTTGCAAATCCTTCATTAAGCCAAAGGTCATCCCACCACAGTGGAGACACAAGGTTACCAAACCACTAGAAGGAAAATAATAATAAAATTTGCTTAGTTTTCTGTTCGTATATCAGAATATTGTTAGAAAACATAAGCAAATACTTATTCATAAAATGTTTTAACAGTTTTTTCTCATACTGACACTGTTTTTCTCCTAAGTATTTTTGGTATTTTTTTACTTTCCATTCATGTTTAATGGAGTGTACTTAGAGTCTACATCTCATGTACAAACATTTGATATCTTTTTACCAAACGGTTTCAATAGATGCAGAACTATAAAACTTTTTATGTAACACAATAGATCTCTTGACATTTCCTCCATATTCTTCGAGTGTCAATTAACACAAATAAGCACAAAAGGCAGGGTTTAAGTTGCATTTTCTTACATAGTAACTTCTGTGATTTTTTCCCCCCAAAGATTTCAAGCATCTATTTTTTACTTTCAGAGTACCATTTCACAAAAATGCATGTCGGACAAGCATTATCCAAGATTTTCTTTTCAGTCATATTCTATGCTGTCAAAATTCTTTTTCAGAGAATAAAAAATGTTGAACAACAAGGATCAAATTACAGTACCTGATGTGCTAGCTCATGAGACACAATGATGGCCACAGACTGCTTGTTGCCTAATGAGGACACAGCAGGGTCATAAAGCAGAGCTGTCTCCCTGTAAGTAATCAGACCCCAGTTTTCCATGGCTCCAGCAGCAAAGTCTGGGATGGCTATCATGTCTAGATAGGACGAAACAAGTTTGGCCATATAAATGGTACTTAATAAATGATGGTATATTGCATTATCAGATTTATCAAACTTTATGTAAGACTGCCAAGTCTATTTTATATATATATATATATATATATATATATATATATATATATATATATATATATATATATATATATATATATGTGTGTGTGAAAAAAAACAACAACTGATTTTAAATTGTTTATTGCAGATGTCAGTAATGCCCAAGTTTTTAGTAACAGAATCCATCCATTGCAAACAATTTTAAATGCCTGTTTTCAAAATCATAACCAGTTTATGTTTTGACTTTAGAACCTGTAGTGAGAAATGGCATAATTACTTTGATGAAAATTATATACTAAATTAAAAATATCCCCTCACACACCCAACCATCCTGAATAACAAAATTCCTGCACACCTCTTTTAAAACACCATATCACTCAACTGAGAATAGTCAGAGATCACCGGTGTGTAATGTTTTGATATACAATTTTATAATGTGAGTCGATCCACCATCATGGATTCATTTTAATGAGGACTTATTTGTATTGGGTCTCTATTGATACAATTTTTTCAAACTAATAATATAGAATTTTTTAATATTTATGTAATCAACAATCTTTGTAAAAAGTGTTAATACAAATACACCTAAATTAACTTACCTTGCTTTGGCAAAGGGTAAGGTACATCATAATAAGCTTCAAAATACTCCAGAATGGCAACTCCTGCCTCAAGGGCATACTGTGTTTGATTAATTGCCTCTGGTCTTGACCAAACTTTCACCTGTAAATAACAATAAAAGAAACTTAGTAAATAGGCCAATTACAGTAGCTGTATACTTATAAATACTTTTACTATACCCAAAAATATATTGTAGCTAGTTTGCTGTTCAGTTTTTTTCCAACAGCATTGCACAAACAAGGTACTTATGGTATTAACCCATTACAGTGACGTCATATTTGCTCCGTAACACTAGTCCCGCGGCCATGCTGGAGGGAATGAACGACGGGGAATAGTAGCGGTAATATAGGTGAATCAAATAAAATAAAATAAACTTCATATCGCGATCAGGTAAACCGAAGGGAAAAGGATATATACAAGCTGAAGATTCAGCTGATTAGCGGGATCGACCAATATGAACTCAAGACAGTCTAAAACGTGAGATCCTACCAAATGCTACTTATCCAACATCGTGTTGTCAGAAGATAGTTCAGTTATCTTGTACTTCATTTTTCTTGTTCATTGGGTAATAACAGTTATAGTTTGAGAGGGTTTAATGTGTAATCATAAGTTTAACCTTACATAGAACATGGACATAATATTATTATGTCCATGCATAGAAGCAACTTTTTACATAAAGGATAGATATAAGGAGAAATTTCAGCTGATCATCAGGATAAACCCTTGTGGACTCAAGGAAGAATGTATGCAGGATTGTCTTATGACATGCAATATTGCTGTCAGTTATGACTTATCTCTACATCGTGAAGCTGTCAGAAATTATTTCAGCATTCTTGTACTTCATATTGGTTCATTAGAAAGTACATGTACTAGTAACAAGACTGTTGTTTGAGAGAGTTTAATATTCACCATGAATGCAACCATTCATATAAGCAACATTGTTAGCATTTTATTATTAGTTCAGTCATTCACAGAAGCAAGGTATTTTTCATACTTATGTATTTATGATGTCTTATGTAAAATAACAATAATTCAGTTCATGAATTGAGCTTTATTTCTGCAACCATTTGCTAAAACATATAGGAAAAGTGCACATTTTGTATGAATAAAAGTGAACATGAAATGCTGAGTTCTGAGTGTCGCTTCAATTAAATAACTCCTGTCGTACACTGGATTTCACTCTCCTGATGTTCAGATCCTGTCTCCTCAGCTGGCCACAAAGATCCAGGAATATTTTTGCTGCTTCTACCTTGTGTGTCATCTACACATGTAGCTGCCTTTTGTACCTGTCATCAAAAGCTTCGGTTTTTTTATTTTTATTTTTTAATTTTATTTATTTATTTTGATAATTTACTTACACCCAATCAGTGTGGCTTGGTGGGAAATGCCTGATCAATTTCCTAAATGTTAATTAATAGAAAGATAACAATAGTGATTTTTATTCATATTGTAACTTACAACATTACAGTTGAAAGGAGCAGAATTTTAACATTTTTACAGAGGAAAGTGCAAATTTCATGAGGTTACATGTCAATTACACCTGAGGTAGAATTTACTTGCAAAATAAAATTACTCTTATCACTACACCAAATCGAAAATTAAGCCACTAACTTCCAAATACACTTCATACAGGTAATTGATTTAATTGGCCCAGCTCAGCTGTGTACAGTACAAATATAGCCTTGACACTAATTGGCAATAATGCTAACCAGGTATTAAAGAGGTAGGTGACAGCCGATAAAATCTAGAGAGCACCATAACTGATAACAAATTACACCCAAGGCAATAGGTGAGTCTTCATTATAAAAGTCAAAACCCTGCCTGGGTATTCCCACACGTTTTAACAAATTAACACACTCTACACCCAAACTTTTTTGGCACTACTTTAAATATATATGCAGGCCTGTAGCCAGCAATTTCAAAAGGGGGGTTCTTTTTCTGAAAAAGTGGACCTTTTCCCATTGAAACTTCATGTACCTAGATCAAATTTTACCCAGAGTGGACCTTTTCCCAGCAAAAGGGGCGGTTCTTACGGGCCTGATATGCAATGTACGTGCGCCCCAAACGTACACACCTAGGTCTTTGGTTTTCTACTGTTTTCTTTTATGGTAAAATCTGCACAGCTGGCTCTTCATTCTTTGCTATAAAATAAATTAGTTTTATCCTTTACTTTTCCGAAGAGTCTTGATTCAAAGCCACCTCGCCGTCTCTCCTCCGTTTATGGTTTTAGTTCCTTCACCATGGACTGTTACCACTGCAGGCAGTCTGTGAACGCTTATAAAGTTAGTTATCTTCTCTAGATCAAATAACCTGCAGTAATTCATCATATTGCTCGGTTAAATATCAAAGAAAATACAGAAAATGCAAACTGAACTACAGACATGGCTTGTTCATGCGCAGCAGACGATTCCGGTCTCCCTCCAGTATGGCTGCCGTTTGTTTTGATGACGCAGGCTCTAATGGGTCAATACTAATGGTGTATAAACATACTTAAAAAATTCAGACAGCTACAATGTATATGTATCAAATTAGTCATTCATTTTTGCATCCAAAAGAAGGTAGTTAGTCATTGTATTTGGATCTTCTGTGCACCTCTTTTCAATATTTTGATAATTTATGGTTTAAACCAAATGTCAAAATGTATACTGAGTATCATTACCAACTCCATTAAGTGTTGAGCATTTAACACACTGTTTAATTTTATCACTCATGCACATTGTGTATATTAACTATTGGTATCACAAGAAAGTCAAAAAGTTATTGAGTCATCAGCCAATGTTAACCTGTCATGCTTACACCTCAACCATTGCACTACAGTAAAATGTACTCTGATCACTTTGCATGGTCACTTGACACTAGCTACTTGTGAAAGCTGCAGGTGTATTCCATCAATTAACATCCCCCAAAATTGGAAGTGTGGGTAACTTGCTGATTTTATCAACTGACAGGTGCTATTTACTTTGCACAGGTAGGAACAGTGTGACAAATAAACTACTTCATTTACTTTGTGAGGCATAAAATAAAAGTGACAGTGATGCCTCACAGTGTATACCTGTTACCTGTCTAATCTGGTAGTTCTGTTTCCAAGTC